CACCACCACCACCACCACCACCACCACCACCACCACCACCACGGCGACGACGACGACGACGACGACGACTACTACTACTACTACTACTGCTACTACTGCTACTACTACTATTCCTCCTCCTGCTGCTGCCTGCTGACTAGTGCCACCAACTCTGTGGCACTGTGACCGTCATCATCTGCGGTGCGTGTTCCCGTTCCAGAAAGGGAATGCAAATAGATTCTTCTTCTTTTGGGTCGAGGGGTGCCAGGATTCAATATCGGCTATCTCAAACTCTCCACTGTAGGCTGCCCTGCTTCTGGCACCAAGATTGCTGCCAGATACCTGTGTTTGCATCTTGGTCTTCGCCTCTTGTGTGTTCGGGCCTTCAGTAGTGCCAATTGCAAGGGACATTTTGGTTTGGGGTTTCGGCCCTTGGGTTGCCATCGAAGCATCCTACGTACCATGGCACGCAGATTTATGTTCGGCTCTCCAATTTTATGGTGCCCAAACACAACACGCAATCTCCGAGATCCAGACCATCAGACGAAAGCCAGAGCTATCAAGTCTGTATTTAAGATTGAAATCTTGAAGTTCTGCTCAGAGGAAGAATCATGTCGATGTTGGCTATTGCTAGCCCCCTGGCAGCCCCGTCCTTGAATTGGGCTCCGTGATGCGCGTCCGCTGAGTCGTGCGGGCAGGTTCTGGTGGAGTCAGACGGCTGCCTCAGGGGCACAGGTTCAACTAGGTAGCGATATGCAATGACACGGCATGACATCCTGAAGGATATGCAATCACCTCTGCTTTTCTGCAGTGTAGGAGATTGGCCAGGCGTGCTGCGGGTGGCAGCAATGCTTCGCTGGTGTGCCTGTACTAAGCGGGAGCCTCAGTGGAATAACTCGGACGATGAGAAGACCCTTCCCCAGACTTCGAGAGCCCCCGTAGAGTTCAACCTGAGATTCGAGCTTGCAGCTGCGCGAAGTGCCTTCACTTCATCCGCGGAAACCTGGGTTTCCAGAACAACGGTGAATCTCTTCGCATGATACCTCTGCGGAATCGACTCTTCCGCTGCGAAAGCATCCAAATAGTTTGCGGACAGGCTGCGTCAGGCAACATTTTACGATGGCCGAGCTGAAATGCTCGGCGCTGGACAACCCGGCTTGATCAGCTGCGATGTGGTTTGCAGTGCATGGTTCAGAAGAGGAGTCGCTAGAATGTGCGCACAAAACGCTCGAACGTTGCATCACTGCTTTTTGACACTCCCCAAGCTTCTAGCATCGAGGGCGAGTCAAGAGGAGGACGATGAGACTGGTGATGCTACACCATGCGGTGAAACGACGAACAACAGGGATGCGACGGCTACCGGCAAGTCCTTCAAGTGTATTTAGGGGTTTTACAGGCTGTCTTCTTCGTTGCAAAGACACATTTCTTGAGACCTTTGTGCAAATTTGCACGGAGGGTGCGATCGAAAACACTCGGACAAATTTCCCGGAATAAGCTCAATGCGATGGACGGCTGTCGTAGGTTTACTGAGATCGTGCAAATCTGCTGTCCGTGCGATGGCCGATCTGAATGCGGCAAGACGAACTGCTTAACAGACAATGACAGACCACACATGCAAGGCTTCTAAAAGTCAGCAGTGTTCCACTGCAGTTGCCCCAGACTAGCCTTTGAACCAAACTTCTCCATCGCTCCAACATATAATCGTCTCGTTTCCATTCTTGGAGACCACCTTGGCTCTGCAGGGAGTACAAGAACAGTATACTGACGGCATAAAGCAGCAGCGGACACGAGACGACGACGACGACGACGAGACAACAAACAACAGAACAGAGGCGACGACGAGGACGACGACGACGACGACGATGACGACGACGACGCGACGACAACAACAACAACAACACGAAAAACACCGCAAAAACGACAAATTCTCCTTCATCGGTGGAGACGCAATTTTCATGCAACAGCAACGCGAAAACGACAAATTATCCTTCTTTGCTGCTGGAAATGCAATTTTCATGCAACAACAACCCGAAAAACAACGCGAAAACGACAAATTCTCCTGCTTTGCTAGAGACGCAATATTCACGCAACAACAGTGCGGAAAACAACGCGAAAACGACTAAATATCCTTCTTTGCTGGAGACGCAATTTTCATTTGGATGAAAGCAAAGGACACGTATTTCGATTGTGTCAGCCGTCGCAAATCCTCAAACGAGGCTATTCTTCGATTTGGCCTGACTAAAAGCAAAGGACATGTATTTCGACCGTTTCAGCACCTGCAAACCCTGAAATGAAGCGCCTTTGCTTTTACTTTGCTTTCTTTCTGAAGTCCTTGGTTACCAAAAATCTCGTTTCCCGGTGGGGACACGGGCCATATTGGCGCGCATGGGACTGGGCCCGCAGGCTTCCCCAGTGAGTAAGGAATCTGCCTGACCGACCACTCAGCTACAGCTGACTTGTCTAGCATGCGGCTTCAGCTATCGAGCAGCTGCCTCGATTGTGTGGATTGCAAACAAGGGACTTGTCAGACATAAAATCGTTTTTCCCCCCGGGGCAGCGGCAGGCAGGGGTCGGGGTGGGGCAAAGGCAAAAACAAAACAGTGTTATTATTGCTACTACGACTACTAGGACTACTACTTCTACTACTACCAGTAGTAGTAGTACTACTACTACTACTACTACTACTACTAAACCACTGCTGATGCTACTGCTACTGCTACTGCTACTGCTACTGCTACTGCTACTGCTACTGCTACTGCTACTGCTACTGCTACTGCTACTGCTGCTGCTACGGCTCCACTGCCAATACCTGCTACTGCTATCTGCTATCTGCTACTGCTACTGCTACCGCTACTATCTGCTACAGTTACTGCTACTGCTACCGCTACTATCTGCTACTGCTACTGCTCCTACAACTGCTACAGCTACTGCTGCTGCTACTGAGCTGCTAAGCTACTTCCACTGCTACTGCTCCTGCTGCTGCTGTTCTGCTGCTACTGCTGCTGCTACTGCTGCTGCTCCTGCAGCTGCTGCAGCGACTAAACATGAAGATTCATGAAGGTCCCCATCGTTACCACCATCATAGCACCAGAACACGTAGTGCTTCGAAACAGTGGCAAGCACGGTGATGCCGACCTTCCACTCAGCAGTGATGCCAAGCGTCTCCACTGTGGGTCTTGCCTTCGAGAAATATACTTACCCGGAAAGAGTCCACCTGCAATCGAAGCTGTAAGTGGATGATGCGCTCCAGGCAACACGGCAGGCTCACGGGTCCTGGCCTCTTTCAGCTCGCATGGATCGTGGTTGAATCCAGGAACCCAGTTCATCTTCTCCTCCTGAGCGTTCCAGTGCCATACTGACCTCTTGTGCCGTCGAAAGGCAGAATGACCGAGCCTTGATGTTGCCCAAGAAGACATTATCTCCTTTCCGAAACCAGGGGCCATCGAGAACACCTCCCATGAACTGAGCCTTGGTGCGGTGGTCTTATGCGCGACGATCAATAAGTGAAGCAACAGAGTGATCTCGAGAAGGGGAGGATCTGTGCAGACGTGTGGTAAGCATGCCGCGTGTTACGGGAAGGGGACAATCTGCCCATACGTCTGGTAAGCATGCCACGCGGGTTCGGACGCCGACAGACGGACTGGCGTCTGTCCGCGACGGGCGAACAAAATCTGGCCTGCTCGAATCGTGCTTTCAATTGACAGATTTGTGTGGTGAAATGTGGTGAAAGTGGACCACCGATGGACTAGCGGGGCATTAGCACGCGTTGGAGGAGTGCGAGCTGCGGCCGGCAAGGGACTTGGAGAATCAGACGCAGAAAAGGTCGGTATCATGCGAGTGAAGTAAACCAGTGGAGACAGAAGACGGAAAAGCTGTAACAGTCCGCTCTCCAATCCAGGTGCGCTGCCTTTGCGGCTTTGACCTGGTCGGCCAGCACTGGGACCTTCGGAGCTCAGCGCTGCTGTACCTCGTGCCTTCATGTTTCGGCTATCTTTGTTACCAAGTCGCAGAGGTAACGTCAATGTTGGCAGATTTAGAGGACTCATCGTCCTCGCATTTGCAAATGCCTTGGCCCATGACGACCTCAGAACAAGATCTGATGCGAAGCTCTCGACTTTGCATTAGACAAGAGAGCAAGATTTGTACATGTGGCAACGTTTTTCTTCGTTTCGTGTCCAAGCGTCTACTGCAGGGCTCTCCTGCCTGTGTAGTGACATTCTTGCTCTTCTTAGTGCATGACCTGTTCTCCGAACGGTTATTCTTCCTGCTTGTTATTGCTGCGGTTGCTGCCAGCACCCCTGCCACTGGTACTTGTTGCTTGGGCAGTTGCTGTTGCGTGTGGTCGCTGTTGTTACCGTTACTCCTGGCTAAGGAAGAAACTGACGATGTCTGATCGCGCACCAATGTCGCAGGGGTCACTTTTATTATTCTGCCTCTAGCATGTACTGAGTAATGCGAAAGCCTTCCCTGAATGTGTCGGCACGACGTATGTGAACGCCGTCAACTCCCTTGCTACTTCATGTGGCTGATGCACTTCCGCAGATTTATGAAGTGCTGCAGTGCCGGGAAGCAACCGCTTTTAATACTGGCTGAGCTTCGAGCTTTTCGTCGCAGGCTACGAAATAAGCAAAAATCAAGCTCGAAGCGGCACTCTTCTACACTGCATTCATCATGGCCTTGAGCCGGCAACTATGCCAGATCCAGGAATCGATCAACCGTTGTTATGCAGCCTGAGTCGGGTTGCGCAGCGAAGACACACTGCCCCAACCAGATTTGACTCCCCCATCGCTCGTGCTAAAAATGTCTGTACACTGGTCGCAACGTTTCCTGTCCCTTTAAGACAGGAGAGCTGAACTGCTCATCTACCCAGCAGTTACCAACCGGACCCCTGACTACCATCAAAGCTCTCATGGCCATCAGAGTCCTGCGAAGAACTTCGCGCTCAAAAATTGGATGCCAGAACCAGAACTGACACTAATGAAACAAAGGGCAAACAGCTGCAACGTGATCAGATGGAGTCCTCCAGTACCTCCAGTATGCCCTCTTCCTCCTCCTCTTCCTCTTCTACCTCCACGGCCTGCACTGGCGGCTCCTCCGCTTGCTCTGCCTGTGGCAAGTCCTTGGTTGGTGTGAGCTGGGGCACCCGAAAAGCTGAAGAGGCCGTAGGAGTTGGACCGGTGCGCTCGCCACGTCGGCCTTTCTTGCCTGCCACAGGGCTTTGAAGCCTCGTTGTTTACTCGAGCTCGAAGCTGGCCTGGACGCGGGCTTGGATGGCTGCCTGAAGCCTTCATGTAGTCACGGCAAACTCTGTGTGCATGCAAAACAACACATGCAACTGAGATTCCTGTCGCCCACACTTGCCGGTTGCCTCGGATGGGATGTACAAGCAGATTTCTGTCGCTCCAAAAGCGGTCCAAGCGAATGTTTGAGATCCTGCAGAGCTGCGGCGGCTCCACAGGACTGGATGCACTTGGCTGCGAAGGCTCTGCCTGCAAACCCAGCTTTGTTGAGTTGCCATTGATCTAGGCTGGCTATGGCTGGCTTCAGCATGTTCATTCGATGCACCATCCATCTTCAGCAGATTCGGAATTCACCTTTCAACACAACTAGACTCACTAGATGCAGAGCATATCTAACGAAAGCTTTAATTGGCGTCAGAGTAAACGTGTCAGTTTTGACGTAGGACCTAGTCAATCATTCGTACGAACAAATGACAAAAGAAAAGATGATGCATCAGCGACGTCACTGCAGCATGCCACTGCCAGGGACTCTACGGATCCCTAACCCGGCTTGCATTCTGGTGCGGTGCCGGAAGTTGTGACCGACGAAAGATATTGCATGCATGGGGGCCTCTTGTTCAACGCTGAGTGATCGATGAACCTGTGCCACGCAACAGCCAGGCGAGACTTCTTGCGCCAACCCAGGGCTGCAGCACATGTCACATCCCCGTCCTGAACCGCCGGGGCATCCTCACTTCCACTCGCAGGACTTGCAGCACTTGCATCGCTCGCAAAGATTGGAAGATCCTGCAGCGAACACGCAGTTCAGGGGGCAAGACGGAAGTGTTTGGTGAGAAACCTTGGTTTGGTGTCGTCGTAATTGTGGTTGTAAGACGCAGATTTGTCGCTGTTCCTGGCATTCCGGTGCAGCCGCCGCCCCAACCCCCCCCCCCCCTCTGCCACTCCGCAGAGCTCCTTCTGGAGGAGACCACCCTTACAAATCCAGATGATTAATTATCGGAATCCAGCTTCAGAGTCGAGTCACCATGCCAGGATGCGGGATCCTAGCTTGCAGTTAGTGATAACCCAGCCCGGACAAAGCTGTCTTCTTGAAGTCTTGCGTTCTTCCGGATACTTCCAGGAGTTCCCGGGAAGGGCCCAGGCACTCTGATCCCGAAATTGCATGTGAGACGTAGCATAGAGTAGCATAGACTCCTCTCCTTTCCTCGGGATGCAACCGATGCAACCGCAAGGTTTCCCGATCGGCAGACTCGGCCAGAAGCGCCAGGGCCCCAAGCACTGGAAGGCATTGAGAAGTTCTGCTTGGACTGTGCGTGTGCAAACAGGATCAAACAGGTACGGACGATATCAGAAAACAAATTCGAAAACGGATCGGACGATATCGGGAAAACACCGGACCAAATCAGAAAACAAACACCGGAAAACGGATAGCTGAAATAAAAAAACAGACGCAGGAAAATCAGAAAACAGGGCGGACAATAGCAGAAAACATGACGGACCAGATCAGAAAATAGGGCGCTGGAAAATCAGAAAACAGGACAACCGAAAGGCAAAAAGAGCCACTGCAATGGCGTGACGGGATAGCTCGCGTGCGAATTCTCATGTTGTTGGAAACCACACTTCTGTACTAAAGCGGCGCTCTGCATTGCTCGGCTTGTGGCCAAAATCGAGGGGTTGAAAGGACCGCGGCCTTCCTTCACCTTTCGGTTTGTGGCCAAAACCGAAGGGTGAAAGGACCGCGGCCTTCCTTCACCTCTCGATTTCAGAGCAGTGAAGGGAGAGCGGCCTTCCTTCACCTCCCGATGTAGGGGTGAAAGGAGCGCGGTGGCCAAAGTTGAGGGGTGAAAGGAGCGCGGCCTTCCTTCACCTCCCGGTTTGTGGGCAAAAAAGAGGGGTGGTTGCGCCCATTTTTTCCTGATGTTCACTCTCCTGTTTTCTGATTTTGTTCGTGTTGTTCTCCGATTCTGGTCTGTTTTCGTCTGTGCTGTTTTCTGATTCGGGCTGTGTGATTCTGTCCGGCTGTTTTCCGACATCGCCCTCTTTAGTTTCCGAACTTGTTTTCCTGATTTCGCCCGGTGTTTTGAGACATCCTCTTCACGCGTGCGCAAACCTCAGAATGGCCTCTTCGAACTCGCTCTGCAGAGGGCTTCCGATCTCTTCCTGGCATTGCATTGCATTGACAGTTGGTGCATCTTGACAGCCAACTTGTCGATATGGGTACCCGCAACGACCATGCACACAAAACTGACATCCGCAATCAATCAGTGGTTTGGGTGAGTTCCTGTCTACTCCCGGTAGGGTGAGACTGGCGCTTGTAGCTGTGGTGCCTTTGTGTGGCCATGCACTGCATTCCGATGCATCGCTTGGTTGCTGCAGCAGCATGCACACCGCACACCGTAGATACTTGTGAGCAAACGACAAGCCTGACGACGTGCGCTCGGCAAATGAGCTACTAAGCGAGTGCACGTCGTCGGCAGACCTCGCCTCGCAGAACTGAATCTTCAAGCTCTCAGGACTCTTTGCGGGCAATCAGCAGGCATCTGTGCAGCCTCCTTCCACTCAAACCGACACGCTGTGACTGTCCAGGAAAGGTCTCTTAAAGATCTTCTAGTTGGATGCTGTGATCGTGGCCTTGATGCTACACTGCCGGCGTTGTCTAGTCCAGAGCGGAGTTTCGGACAGAAGCAGGCAGCAAGACTGCGCTGTCGCTAGCTGCCGCTAGCTGGCACACGGCACCGGCGCGCGTGGCATCATATTTCGGCATGCGCAAGATCAGCTGTTGATGGGTGTTAACCTGGACATTGTGCTCTGGTACCTTTTTATGCAGGCAAACAAAAGTAGCAGCAAAACGTCCGGGTTACCACTGATCAACAGTTGTTTTTTTGGGCTAGCTGGGCCGGCGCGGCTCCCGTCCCAGCAAAATGGTATCACGGCGGTCCGAAGCGAGCACGTCCGTCCGACTTCGCGTAAGATGCAGGGGCCACTTACTGTGACATGCCAGCGTGGAGAAAGCATTGTAATTGTTCCGGCCTCATCGGCGGGGTTGTGCGCCGTGCCCTCGCTGGGTGCCCGTCCTGCCTGTGCAGTGCAATGGGTCCGACTCCGACCCGTCTCCACACGAGGAAAAAGCAAACATGGGCAGAGCCCGCAGAGGAAAAAACTCTGCTCACGCCCCGATGACGCTTTCTTTCATCCCACACGTCCCAAGTCCCACAAATCCTGACCTGCAATGCGCCTTTCTGATCCATTCGGATAGCTTCCGCTCTAATGATCTGCCTGATCTCCCGTTGCCTGCGTGGCAGCGATCTGAGCTGTCGGAGCCTGGTCACGAGATGCCCAAAGTGAAAGCTGGTGAGACGTTCATGAGCCAGATGCCTCTTCCATTTCCCGGGGGCTATCGGGGCCGTCCTTGCGGATCATGAACGAGCTTGGTCAGTCAGCGCAGATCTGGCTACGGCTACACCTCTTTGAACCCTCGCAGCTTGACTCCAAAGCCACATTCCTGTCTCCACATCTTCTCCAAGCTGGGTGGGGCCATGCAGCATGTTATGCCATGCACGGATGGACCTCGGTGACGCTGTCTGCGCTTCTGATGTCTACCTGACTGGCAGCGCATGCTAAGCCAAAGAATGCCGCAGACATCGTCGTGTACTTCAGTGGCCCCGACCCCCACTCTTGACAATGCAACGGATATATGGCGGTTGCAGTCTGGCATGCTGCGCATCGTGTTTCATACAGTGCGGTGCGGCCTGTTGGATCGCATCTTCACCCGATGCATCGCTTCGTGCCTCCAGCAATTCAGGACAGTGCAGGAGCCCGCCCCATTTGCAAGGCCGG